GCCAAAAGAGGTCTTAGACTTTGTAAGGAAGCTAAATCAAAAAACAAACCCCAAATCTAAAACTTTCTGTCCACAAATAATATTAAATATAATATCTAGGACCCTTTATAACAGCAGTTCTCAACCTGTGGGTTGCAACCCCTTTGGGGGTTGAACAACCCTTTCACAGGGGTCGCCTAAGACCATCGGAAAACACATATATAATTACATATTGTTTTTGTGATTAATCACTATGCTTTAATTATGTTCAGTTTGTAACAATGAAAATACATCCTGCATCTCAGATATTTACATGACGATTCATAACAGTAGCAAAATTACAGTTATGAAGTAGCAACGAAAATAACTTTATGGTTGGGGGTCACCACAACAGGAGGAGCTGTATCAAAGGGCCGCGGCAGTAGGAAGGTTGAGAACCACCGCTTTATAAGAATACAACAATGTCCATCAGACAGTTCCTGGGGGTAGAGAACCCACCCTCAGCCTGGTCCTTACTGCCCTTTAGCTCTACTGGACAAAGAGGTTTGTACTGCGCTGGAGGCACCGGGAGAAGAGGAGGCCGTGGCTAGCAAGGTGGAGAGTGTGCCCTGCAGCAGAGGCGGGTGCCCCCTGGGAGGCCCTGGGCTGGGCTGTCCCTGAGAACAGCTGTCTCTTCAGGCGGGCATCCCTTATGCACAATGGATTTTGTTCTCTGAAGCAAAAACCCTTCTTTCCATGGTTTGCTGGTACCTAAATACCCGCTTTATCCCTATTGGCTCAAGCCAAGCTTCACCTTTGGAGTTTGCTAAAATGAAAATACTTCCGGAAGGAGGCATATGTTTAGTGTGATCAGGCATTACATCTTAGTGTGAACGACTGCATGGGGTCTTCCCACTGAGAGAGGCTTTGGTGGAGTGGGTGGGGGGTGGGCAGGAAAGTGCAATGTCTGAAGGGAACGGTGGCTGAGCCAGAAAACCTGGGCTCAAGTCTACACTCTGCAAGGGATCGCCACCCACAGGCTCATCTCGGTTCCCAGAATCCCATAGTGTGCCGTTGAGACGAGCAAGCACTGCCAAGCACAGCATGTACCGGGATGGGGAGCCCCGATACCCAGGAATTGCTTCCTCATGCCAGCGTTTTGGGGCCCTTATTCTGGCTCAGGGGCTTCTCCTGGACTTTGAGGAAGACAAGGGCAAAGGCAGAGGAGTGGTGGGCTCTGGCCCGACCAGGAAGAGACAGAATTTCCTGCAGGTGGTTGCTAAGGCTGATCCCCCCCGAGGATGACGTGTTTCTTGAGGTCAATGTGAACTCTTTAAATTGTCTTGCTGTCATCTCCGCCCAGATCTCCAAGATGCTGAGCAGCGGCCAGCACCCCTGTGCTCAGGCTCGCCCCCCCGCCCAATCCAGGGCTCACCTGCATGCTGCCCCACCCTGAGGCTGAGTGGGCCAGGCTGTCTCCCTCCATGAGATGATTTAGGGAATGAGACCAGCTTGCAGGGTTTTCTGCCAGAATTGGAGGCAGAAAAGTCTGGCCTTACTGGCCCTGCCCCCATCCCTGGCTCCGCCAGTGGTGCCATAGAAGCCATCTGTCGCTGTCCCAAGCTGGGCTGCTAGTGCCCCTCCTCTCTCTCCTGGCTCAGTGACAAGCAGCCCCTCTCTCTCAGACCTGCCACTGGAGAGAGAAGGTAGAGTGGCCAGGGTCCCACAGGGGCAGAGTGAGAAGCCGACCACCCCTCCCTGCGGGCCTCCCAGTTCCCAGGAACGAGACACACCCATGGTCATTGCCATTCCGGTCACTGCAGGGAAGGGAGGGTTGCCCTGGGAGTCACCGAAGGAAGGTGGCAGGTGAGGACAACAGCGCTGGGCACATGCAGAGTGATCCAGGGCAAGCACCCAGACTCTCATGGCCGAGGCCCTACGTTGTCAAATGTTCTCCGTTGTGTGATTCGAGCCTGAGGAGCCCTGAGCACACACAGGCGGAATCTTCACTGTCAACTTGTCCAGCCATTCAGCCCGGACAGGGCCAGGCAGGACTGAAAACTGTTCACTTCCTCGTCCGGGAACTGCAGGCAGAACTCCCGCAGCAGGGTATCTCTTAGAAACTGCCCAAATGTGTAATTTTCTTTTAATAACAGTCACCTATGGGGCGCGGCTACAGGGTTTTGGCCAGGTCCAAGCCTCTGACTAATGAAAGGACAGGGTCCTCTCATTGCCACGTGCAAGTCCCAGCTGGAAGGCAGGGCCCTCCCAGCACAATTATAGCCACTGGCTGTGGTAGTAAGCTTGAACCTATGGTCCGAACACGTGGCCCCACGTGCCTTGTGGTAGAGTTCAGGTGCATGTAGTTGAGTGAGATTGGAACTCACGAGAATGCTGTAAACAACGTGATCACACCCCTACTTTGCCTCGTGGCATCTGCTATAAAGACACGGCTTGTGGGCGCTGGCGTTGTCTCCTCATCAGGGAGCAGTGTCCCACCGAGACCCAGCTTTCATTCTCTTGTCTGTCTTTCCTTAATCGTTCCCCCCCGCCCCCCACTCAGTTTACCTTTGGCCGCAACAGTCACCTTCAGCGGCCAGCCTGTCCCTTTGGGTGGGGTGTGCACGGCCCTTCCAAGCTAACGTGACCGCAAGTTAGCCCTCCCTCAGGGAAGAAAAAGGCTTTCCCAAGCACTGGGGTGCGGGGAGGTGAGCAGAACGCTTTGGGAGAAAACCTGTGCCTCCCCCCCGCCCTCTGGACCCCAAGCTCCTCTCCACGGCTCTGGGCCCTGTCAACAGCGAGCCATGCACTCGAGCTGCAGACCTGCCAGTGATGTGTCCCCTGGACGCGCTGAAAGGCACCCCTGAAGTGGCAAGTTTGTGGAGCACCTGCCTACAATGGGTTAAGTTAGAACAGCCAGTTCAGACTTTAAGACGAAGTCCTTTAGGTGGACACGGAGGAGCTGTGTCCCACTCTGGGCTCTGCCAGTGAGGGGCTTGGGCAAGGCTGAGTCTCAAGGGCCGTCTCTGACCTTCCCCCTGACACCCTGAGCGCTGGGGAGGCCTTGTCCTGAGAAGGCCCAGCCGAGTGAGGTGGCACTCCACCTCCAGGCAAGGGGAGGAGCTCCCCACGCATCCTGCCAGCAGTTTATCCTCACCTGGGACTTGCAGCCCAGTGGGGAACATGGCCAGGACCAACGTGGGGGAGAGGACAGGGCACTGCAGAGGGGCTGGGTTGGGAGGGACAGAGCGACTGGGGCTGACTTACCTCTCCCCCAGTCTAGTCTGAGGTCAGCCTTACAAAGGAAGGGGGGGTCTTCAGTCTCACCCCCGAGTCCCCACCAGTGGGCAGCCCCCAGACCATGACAGGGTCTGCAATGCATGTTTGAAGGAGTCTGTGTTGGGTCTGAAGTCAATTCCCGATTCATGTGTTTTCCTGTCCAACTCAAGTCCTACAAACACTTGCTTCGAGATCCCACAGCCCGAGCTCTCTGGAAATGCATGCTTTTGAGAAGGTTCTCTGGCAGGCGAGAGGGCACCAAAGGGCACTTTTATAAGGGGCTTTAAAATTTCCGAAGTGCCTACATCACTCTTGGACTCCAGAAAAGGCCAAGAGCTGGTGGACCTAGCAACTGTGTTCTGAGGTATAATCTATTCCTCTACTCTTTTTACTTCGCGTTGTGTTTTTCTCTAAGGAGGAGCATAAAAAAGTTCAGAGCAGTTCTGTCCACTGGCCAGTCCCTTGTGTTTGTGTGAGGCTGGATGAGGCAGCAAGGGCTCAGAATCTGACACCTGTCCAGTGAGATACCACGCCCGCTAACCCGCTGAGAAACATGTCACAAGAAACCAAGGATGGAGTTATGTCCTGCTTGGATGTTACCTCCTGGCAGTCTCTGCGGGGATTAGGTGAGGGCCATCGTGAGGATGCTTAGTCCTAAAGAAAAAAGGAAACATTTTGAGGAATCTGCGAATTTTAACCGAGGATAGAGAAGAGATCTGGGTTCTGATAGCCTTTCTTCCGAGACCCACTTTGGGTTTCGTGACTGAGTCTCGTTAAGTCACATAAATTGAGCACTGGTTGGACAAAGACCAGAACTGTCTTTGCAGGGATGGACTGGCATGGATTATAGAGTGTTAGATAGTCATCAATTCTCAAGTTTAATAAAATGACAGATGGATCAGATCAGATGTGCATCTCATTAAGCTGAAGCCAGGAGTTTTGGGCAGAGTTTAGTGATGTTTCTAAAGAAAGGACAGCTAGCACAGTAGGTAGGTGATCGAGAATTGTTTCTAAAGGTGTGGAATCTTAGGGAGATTAAGGAAATGAACTTGCTCTGAATCTGCAGGCATTTAACCTGCGGCAGCCCGACGATACATTCACGAAGAAGCTTTAAACAGATAAGCCATCATACTGGATGTAGAAATGTTCCAGCTTCCATAATTCTTTATTAAATATTTGACAAGTTGCATCACTTCTTTACAATGACTTCACTTTGTCACATGACTGTTTTGCTGTCAGGAAAACAATCTACAAGTTCTCATTCAATTGCTCGAGTAAAATGAAAAGCCCGAAGGGTTCTGTTCTTAAACAAAAGTTTTCCTGTGTGTATCAAATGCAACCATATTCGAAAGCTACTTTGATTGTGAAAATGAGCACTGTCCGTAAGTTGTCTTAAAAAATGTCGAAGTAGTTTGGTATTTAATCACTGTATCAAATAGTACTTGGCTTTTTCAGGTGGTGGGTTTATCAGACAAAGTTATGAAACACTGAGAATTCATTTGGAATGCTTGAAACTCTTTTCACCTTCAATGTCACTGTGTTTTTTTCATGTTTCATTTGATAATCGATCCTGAATAAATGACAGCATATTAACATCATCTTGGGGGGGTTCTCTCTGGCTCCGAGGGTCAGAATTCTCAGGGTACAGCTTGGAGAAAACCAGAAGGAACTAAGCTCTCACTCCCTTTCAAAACCAGACTGCTCAAGAAAGGTGTAAAAATGCTATACAAATATATACATTTATATTTGGACAGCATATGTACGCATATTTGTATATAAATATTTTACATACATAGTAGAGAAAGAACAAAGTTACGCAGAACTATTACATGAACGAAACCGTGACAATCTAGGTGAAATCAGTCTCAGTAGGAGCTGCAAACTGGCTTCTATGGGAACACAGATGTCTGAAGACACAGGGTCACGGTCACGAGAAAGGCTGGCGATGCACAGGTACAAGGCTGAGAATGCAATTCACAGAGGTCTGTGGCCAATGTCGTTGGAGTCCTATTGTGACTCCTTACAAACAGACTAACCAACAGAAAGACATGCATTTTAAACATGCATTGCCGCGCGTTACATCTTTAAAGATGGAGAGATGTCTGATGAGAGGTTTTCTTGGAAAAGTTCACACAGAAAGTTCTCCTTTTTATAAAACATTATACAGCTCACGTCCTAATGCTACGGCATTTTCTGACACACTGAAAACTCTCGTGTGTGTGTGTGTGTGTGTGTGTGTGTGTGTGTGTGTACGTATGCAAGGGTATATACACTGTTCATTAAGGCTTAGATAAATTAAAAAAAAAAGTGGTCCAAAGTATATCACATTTTCTTCCCAGTTTTAAAATCTAAAGTACAAAGTGAAGTTTGTAAGGATTTTTAAAAACACTTCTCAGACCTGAAATTGGCAGTTTTGACTTATCAGGATGTATCCCAAAGCCTGGATGCCAGAGAGGTAGTGATCTCCTGGGGTCAGGAAGGGAGCAGACCAGGCAGTTACCCTGCACAGTAGCACCCCCTATTGGCAAGGCGGAAAACGACACCGGACTGCACGTCCCTCCCCTCCCTGTCAGTACAGGGGTGCAGACTCTGGGTGAGGAGGAAAGAGGCAAAGAAAGGACAGCTAGCACAGTAGGCAGGAGATCGAGAATTGTTTAACCCAGGCTCATTTTCTAGGTTTTAAAATTTCAGAGCTGAGAGATAAGACTTAGGAAAATACTAGTCAAGTGTTCAGCAATTAGCAACTGTTAGAACAATTAGTAGTTTGTTGCATATGAACTTGGCTTTTAAGGGAGCCAATTTGGACCTGGCAAGATCAAACAACAATAGTACATGCTGTCTATTTTTATCTTAACAATGTGAGATGGAGAAAGTGTTTCAAATGTTTTGCAAACCACTTTTCAGAAGGCGGGAGGAATAATCCGTGTCAGGTCTCTTGATAGTATTGGTCACCTGACCCTTAGGTAATGCCTGATGTTAGCTACCAGGGGGCATTCAAAGAAGCATCTCACACTGTGACCTGGCAGAGGCCTGGCTACAGGAAGGTAAATAATGGAAATGTTTGGGGAGCTAGAGAGAAGAGCGCTGAAGGGGAACACAACTTCCAAATAGACAAAGGCTAGTTGTTTCCTTTTCCCCAGGCAGCATAGCCCCTGAAGCTAATCCCACTGGCAGGAGAAATAGCCAGAACAGACGGTTGTGAAAACTGATGTTCAAAGACCTTCAACATGTAGTATGTAAACGCGGGAACTTACCTCCTAAACTCAAGGCAAACCGGCCTATGATAACCATGCCTTCTTCTAGGAACTAAAACACACACACGTGGATTCAAGTGGTTTCTAAGGAAACAGAGGCTCCCTGGACTCCGGAGCAGGGTCACTGCTGGGGACACCTAGAAAGGGTGACGCAGGCTGCTGACCAGAGCGGTGGAGGCCCATGGAATGACCCATCCTTCTGCTCCTCACCTGACATGCTTTCTTTACTGCCTGCTGTCATTACGTCCCAAAGATGACGCAGAGTGGTCAAGATTTAGAGGAAACAAGGGATATGACTACTTTCAACAGAGTGAAACACGAATTGTTGAGAACTAGGAAACCTTATTTGGATTACAAACAAGCAAAAATGAATCTCAAACCCAGCACTATTGAGCTGTTATTGAAATCAGATATTAAGGAATAGATGAACTGAACTGTCATTCACAATCACTGCTATTGAAATATTTATAGGGGCAACATGTGGATAATTCTCATCTGTTCCTGGTATACAGATTATCTTAGAGTGATTTTTTTCTTTCAGATTTTTAAGACTTTGTCTAATTTGCATTTAACAAATACTCTGATTTTGAATATATAATTTAAAAGTGATAGAAGACCCCCAGTCTTTATGCCAGAATTGCTGGATTTCTTCCCCTCCAGTCACATGATCACTCTCAGAACCCACCCAGCACACTGCTCACCCAGGCTCTGGCACAAGTCTGACAAAGAAAGCTGACCCTGGAACGAGGAGGGACTGTTCGAACGGGTTTTGCCACTGAGACATTTGTTGGGGGCGGGGGGAGATTCCACCAACAGATAAAAATACCGAGCAACACTGGTTTTTTCTCCCTAATTACTCAGGATCTACGTTTTCTGGTCACTATTAGGTACTTTAAAGTCAATACGCAAAGGGAGCCAGTCCTCAGCTGGGCCAAAACCCACCTTCTTTAGACACCGTGGACTTTAGCTCATTTACAACCACAAACACACAGCTTCTCACAAGCCACAAAACAGAATTTCTTCCACCAAAAGGTCCTTCTTGCATAACAAACAGAGGCCCTAAAGCCACCATTTTTGTCTTATTTATGACTGGCGAGAGATCAGATCTCTAGTGTTCCCTGGTAACCACCGCAGGGTCTAAGACAACACAGAGTAAGAAGCCAGCAGGGCTAAACTCCCACACTGCCTCGGGTGATCTCTCAAAACAGAATTCTGCACTAGGAATTACAGCAGCAAAGGATCACACTGTGCACACATCCTCCACCCTGCCTCCCAACCAGCTCGACAGCCTGGCCGCAGAGGGGCAAGTCCTCCTGCTCCCTTTCATCTGGCACATGACAGACACAGGCAGCCCACAGCACAGAAGCAGCATGCAACACGCCACAGGGAACAAAGCTGGTTCAACCGCGTGCGTATTAAACTCATCTCTGAGCAGAAATCAAAAAATGATCGGCGAGGACAGGTCTGTCAGCTTAGCTTCACAGCCAGGTTCTATACGCCAGCAGCCAGATTCACTGTTGACAGGTATGGCACCAGAAAGATGTGTGCAGTGAGAGAAATAATCATCAGATTTAATGTCCACAAGAAACAAAACACAAACCAAACCAGGTATGACCTCCACATAGTACATAAAGTGCCTTCGGAATTGGTGCAGTTAGAACAACTGTGATCTAGGAATTATCAGCAAACGCATACAACAGGAGACTAGACAGAGCTGGTTTCCAGTTTCAGATCAGGCAGTGCCGAGTTTCATTCAAATAAATGTCTCTACCCCGAACAGCAAAGAGGGAAATATAATAAAAGATAAAGTACAGCATCAGAAAGGGTTAAGTAATTTCTCCTATAAGAAATGACCGCCCAACCCCGTCTCAAATGTGTTAGAACACGTGTGAGTACTTTAGGGAATAATGGTGTGATTCCTTCCAGTCAACACAAAATTTGTCATGCTATGGTACAATTCTCCCAGCCTGTAGCGATTATGCTAAATTTGTACAAAAAAATCTAATATCCACTTTGTTTTCATTTTGAGTATGGAAAAAATTATCATTATGCCTAATGTTATACTTTAAATGCTCTCAAAGTACTTGTCTGTAAGAACGATTTGGACATAAACCAATCTTCCAGTTCGAATAAAGTCGAGTGCAGGGGTGTCAAAGTACTTCAAAAGCAAAAATGTCACAGACATTAAACCTGGCATCAAAGTCAAATACAAAAAAAATATATGCTCACTTTTCCAAGTACATGAGACATCTTTAATTGTAATGAAATGAAATCGGAAAATCGGTCTAAATCATTTTCAAACAGTAAACATGAGTTGTAATACTATACCTGTAGAGTGATTACTTCCATTCATTGTCATTATAAAGTATGCAAAATATTTATTAAGGGCTTTGCCTATAGAGGCACAACATAAATAGAATTAAGTCCTCCTGAAATGTAATTAGTGTACACATCAACCAGTTGATAATTCACGGTGGAAAATGCAGAAACGGGACCTGGGACTGGGTTCCCACGTCTGGACTTGGGCAAGTCACGGGCGAAGGCTCTGCTCCAGGAGCCATGCTGTGCAATGCTCCCTGCCATCCATCGTCTCTGCAAAGTCCGTTAGGCAAACGCAAAAGTGCAAGCAGGACTTGCTGGACGAACCACCACCCGAGGCAGGGGAGCTTAATCCACTCCCTCAAATCCTTGAGCGTTTTCCACAGCCATGAGAAGTTTCTCTCGTAAATCTTCGAAGGTTTCGTATGGAGGTAAGTCAAGGCGGTTAAAGCTGCAACAGCAACAAAAGTGTAGGTGAAAAGCCATCCTCAGTATCCTTCAGTTGTAGCAGCATTTCCTAGATTTGGCTCAGGGGCATTTGGTGTTGGAGCAAGAGTATGCCAATGTCTTAAGTGAATTCTGGTGATCAGAATATAAATGCTAGCGAGGAGACTGTCCACACCCAATAGGCTATATAACCTGCCGAGGAGAGAAAAGACTTTTCTAATAGTCCACGAAACCTCTCTACTCCGGTTCCATAGGAGACACTGACATACACTCTAAGATTTCAAAACCCTATAAACACAGAAGGTTTTATGCATTAGGAGTTCTGGATGCATGGAGCCGTGTCATTCCCAAATGCGCTCACTTCGACATCAGGCCCTGAGCCAACTGCTTGGTTTCACAGGTCTTGGTTTTCATCACAGGATAGTGACTTCTCTGTTCTGCAGATGAGGGTCCTGACGCACAGAGCGGTCACATCACTGTGCCCGAACTCTCGCCCCTGGCAGTGCGGCAGACTCAAGACCAGCACCAGGCTGCCTGGGCTACAGAACCAAAGCTAAGCTGCCTCCACCAATTAACATCAGGCAAGCAATAGACACGTGAAGTGAAAAGCTGTATTTATAAAAAGCCCTGATTTACCCTGAGGTTTCGTTTGGGGTGTACAAATCCCCCTGCTGGTGGCAAGGCACACTTGTCTAAGAGACCAAGTTCAAAGTCTGGCTCAGCCACTTGCCAGATGTGTGACCTGGGCGGGCCACCATCCTCTCTTGAGTCTGTCTGCTCTTTGGCGAAATGGAGGAAATGCTTGCAGGGTGCTGGAAGGGTCAAAACCGAGCATATGTAAGTGCCCTGGCACACAGCAAGTGCCCAGAGATAGTGAGCATTGTGATCATTCGCTCACCATTCACTGAGTGCCCACATGGGACATGAGGAGTGAGAGCCCCAGTCACAGGATTCATGCCTTGGGGGATGGACTGCTGACGTGTACCTGTCATGAAAATGGCCACCCACCCGTGCCACAGATAATGATGGTTACTCTGTGCAGTCAGCACTGCTAAATACTTTTCATTTATGACTTCAGTGAATCGTAGTAATTACCCTAAAAGGTCGGTCTTGCTTCATCCCTAGTTGAGGCACAGAGAGGTTAGGTAACTTACTCAAGGTCATACAGTAAGCATTAGAGCTGGGATTCATACCTATGTTGACTCCAAAGCTCAGTTCTAACCACTGTTTGTGCTGTCTCAGTGTATAAGACTGCTCCCTCCTGGCAATGACATATGATTCCAAGTTTGAAAAGCTAATGATTATCAGCAGCGGTAAAAAAACACGTGTCCACAGTAGTTCCTTTACCAACCCCTGAAGTGTTTAATAAGACACACTAAGCTCTTGGATTTTTTAACAGTCCCTAAACATTGTAAGACATAGCAGAGAATACCACTGCTTCTCAGAGTGGAGTTCTCAGAAACCCAGGAATCCTAAAACAGTAAATCTAAAAGAAGTTTTTAATTTTGGTTTTCATTCTGATGACAACCTCGAGTATTATTTTACGTTATAAAGACAGAACTCCATGCCTGCGGACCCCACTTAAAAGAGCTGATCACAGAAGGCAGCTTTAGTATTAATTTAAGTTGGTATTTCCATTGAGGGCCTGCATTCCTTAGGGATCTGGAAATGCATTCTTGAAGGTCTGTGATCACTGTTTCCCCTCTAATATGACCCACTTCTTAGAACTGCAGTGACGATTATCGGTGGATACACACGAAGCGCTGAGGACAATGCCGGGAACACACTAAGTGCTTAATGAGTGTAGTTACCATTACCACCGAGGTCAGGGGGCCGGGGGCAGTCTAACTAACCATAGACTTCCCTATCCTCCGTGGGCTTCAGTGTCTTCGTGGGTAAGAGGGCCGAAGGGGATTGTTTTTAGAGCTGACAACAAAGAGCAGGTATTCTTAGTAAAGTGTAATGTGTGACCTTTGACAGGGCAATGAAATGAAGCCCTTTAAATATCGGACACCCAATAATTACATCTGAGAGAGTGATGGAAAGTGCTAGAAAGAACCAGACCTACCAGCCCTTGCTCTCCTGGTAAATCAGGTTTGCATTTTGAAGCTTAATTGTGTGTTTTATAGGAAACATGGAAGACATTAAACATACATATGGCTAAATCAGACTGTATAAGGAACTCTTGCTGTGAGGCAGCCAGCAAAGCTGGTTTCCTGGGTGACAGTCAGGTCCAGGTGAGGTTGGGAGACAGCCACGTACACAGAGAACAGAGTCCCACCCTGCCAGCCAGTGTGGCTGCAATTAGCACTCCCCTGGGCCAGGCCCAGTTGTTCTGGGGAGAAGACCATCATTAGGAAGCCAGTCAAGGCATGTACCTGGGTTGCAGGTTTGACCTCCTCCCGCCTCCCCGACTCCCTTCATTCTCTCTAAATATCAATGAAAAAAAAAAAAATCCTTACTCCTTGGGTGAGAATACGGCTTGTTGACATGGGTACATTTTTGTCACTTACCATGTGTGAGCTCTGGGCAGTTTGTCAGGACTCCCCCATTGCTCTATTGTAAACAGTTGAGGACCATTGGAACCTAGACAAAAAGAGAAAAGGAAAGTGAATGCTAGCAGTGCACTAGGGAAGTATGTGACTAAGAAAGAGAGGGTGAGCCCAGACACTCTCTAGGACTGCAGCGTAATGTTTACTATTTAGCTGCAGGAAGCAATAGGTTTGCACAACCTCACAGCACATGCTCTGTGTCACCTTCAGATGGAACTAAGCTGAAGAGACATCACAACAATGAAAGTGCGGGCTGCTACTGCCTTTCAGCCGAGCCTTGGGAGTTTAAATTTAAAACTACATTTTGGGGAAAAAGGAAACATAACCTTTAATACGCAGAGCAGAAACTGTTACTTTTTTAATCTATAGTAAGCACTGTGGAATCCTGCTTCCTGGAGGTGAGGTGTCCTGTCAACATTCAGTTTACAGCCATGTGGATGATTCCGCAGTATCTAGTTTTTAAAGATAGACCAAAAGACAAAATAAACAAACAAAAAATACAAATAGTCTCCTGCTCACCATAAAGTTCAGCAAATCCATTCATAGGTACTCGGGACGTCCCCGTGACAAACTGCAGCAACCGGATACGCTTCTCAGCGTCCATCAGCAGCACAGCCTGGAAACAGAGGCAGAAGGTCACTCTATCCCCACGTGACAGTTGGCACACCTTACTTCTACGGCAATGTAAGACCTAGGTGGCTGACTGAAAACGGTCCTTTTATTCTTAATGGCCATCACAACGCTGGCCTCTCTACTTTAGAGAGCAAGAGATCACAGTGTCTCCTCTTCTGCAATGAGTCAAAATAAGAGATATAAAAAGCAAAGTCTTTTTGATGGCACCAAGCTCAGATTCTGTTGTGTGAGGCCTGCCAGTTCCCTGAAAGCCAATGATAATATACAGAATTTGAGACGTGTCGACACTGAGGGAACCCAGTTTATAAGGTGGGATTTCAGACTGTAGACAGATTTTTGAAAGATGACACTTAAAAAAGAAAAACAGAGCAAGGATAGGCCTCTGAAATAATCTGTGTATCTTACATAATTGGGTTATTACAAGAATTGAGTTGGTAATGTTTCTTGAACTGTTGTAAAAAAACAAAAAAAAAATCCAAAATCAAAACTAAACGAGACTTGGACTAGGGTAGGGTTTGAAGAATCTACTTTTTTCTTTTTATCTCTATTTCTGCTGGCACTTGAAATATTAAAATTAGTGATTTAGATATTAAAACAAGTGATATGATTTCTTATCTTTGTAAAGCCAAAAAATCATTTTTTTTTCTGTAACTGGTTTTTTTAAAGTCACTTGACCATCTCTCCCTTGGACCTACTCATTCCCACTTCTCTCCTAAGCTAAACAGAATGCAAACATTAGCCCTAAGATACTAAATAAAATTTCATTTGTAGCCTGAAAGATATAAAAGATCAAAATGTGTGTTGAAAAGAACAAAACTAAAAAATTGGGAAAATGATTTTTTAACCGAAAATAGTATCTTGGAAAAGCCAGCTTCCAAAGCAGGTTTTTGCCCAGAGGCCTCCCATTCTTATTCACACATTGGAGGACTCCTGCAACTCTTGAATCCAATTACCTCCTTTTCAGAATCATCTACTTAATGGGTTCCTCAAACAGAAGCCACTTGAATCTGGGGGTTAAGGAAGGGCAGAGTGCTGCGGTAAGGATCAAGGACAGCTTTCCCTGGAGTTACACAAGGGCTGCTTCTAGCTCAGGTTTGCCTCTTCTCTCCGCCAGGAGCCCATGTACTGACAGAGCCCCAACTTGTGCAGCTAAACTAAAGCAAGACCGTGGGGAGGACAGCAGAGCCCTCAGGCCTGACCCAGGTGGAGGAGCTGAGTGTGGGCCCAGGAGGCCCTGGCCTTACCTTCCAGAACCACTGAATGACAGGGTGGTTTGGGCAGTAGCCGTTCTTGTAGATAGTATGTTGTCTCCAGTCATTCACGTCCACATCGCCGAGGCCACACATCAGCAACTAGGAAAGAGAGAGCAGAATTGTAAATGGGGCACAACGTGAATCACACTCGGAGAGGTGGCCTTCCTCAGGGCCAGCATGCCGACCTGAGTTCACAGAAACAAATGCAGGGAATGTGTTCCACATTTTACCTGCCACCGCAGACCAGAGACAGCGTTGGTAACAAGGGGCCCAAGTCTAATGCCCGAAGAGACCACACTTCCTGATGGAAATGGAAATTCCAGATTGAGCATCTTTCCTCCCTCCCTCTCTAATCTGAGCACAGCGCTCATAGATTTTCTTATGCTCCACTTATATCTCATTACCCTAGCTGTTCCCCCTTCTGAGAGGTTATTTGTCTCAATATTTGACACTACCTCCCCACCCACAAAAGAATTTGTGTGTTATGACAGCAAGACCTCATCTTGTCCCAATCTATCCCAGGGAAGGGCAAATTACCCATCTGCCCAGTGACCCCAAAGCTTGTTCTATGGAGGCAGACCTATTCTAATGTGGTGACCGGCTCACTGACTTAGCAGCTAGCCTCAAGTCTGCTTTTTTTAACATCTAACCCTCCAGTAGGGACGGTTTCCTGTGGACAAATGAACATGACATTCCTGCAGAGGCACTAAATGAAAGAGAACTGAGCCAGATGCCTGAGAACGGGATGCCTAGGCCTAACTGTGCCGAAACCTTGTTGGGTAAACCTGTGAGGTCACTGACTTCTCCCTGCCTTAGTTTCCCTCACTCCCCGCCCACCTCCCCCTTCCTCAGGCAAATGAAGGGCTTACACTATATGATGTCTATGACATCATCTACTTGAAGTTTCCATTTTAAGATAAAAGCACAAAAAGCCAGTCTACAAGACATGCTTCTCTGGATGTGGTTTGGACAAATGACTAATTGAATCTCATCAACAGCTTCCAAGCAGACACAACCTTCCTCTCAACATCAAAAGAGAGAGTTGTTTGCCTTTAAAAAAAACATATTTATATTGATTTCTGAGAGGAAGAGAGAGGGAGGGAGAGAGAGAAACACCAATGATGAGAATCATTGATTGGCTGCCTCCTGCACACCCCCACTGGGAATCTAGCCTGCAACTTGGGCATGTGCCCTGACCAGGTACTGAACCGTGACCTCCTGGTTCATAGGTGGACATTCAACCACTGAGCCACACTGGCTGGGCTCCTTTGCTTTATAAATTGATAGTTCTCATCTACCTCAACACAAAGAAGCTGAAACAATTGAATATCAAACTACCTGTTGTTGACTTCTGACGTTTCTCCTCCCTTAACACAGACCACTTCAAGTTCACTGACAGGGTGGGTGGGTGAAGGGGGTGCAGCTGGGCCTTGGGAGAATGGTGCTGCTACCCCAACTGGTGCTGCAACCCTGGCTCTACTAGAAGCAGTTTTCCTCACCTGGGGCAGTGGGCCATGCACCCAACCAGCTCAGGGGGCCTCTGCTTGTCCAGCCTGTCCCAGAACTGCCCTCTCCTGGACAAGGAATCTGCAGGTGACGACTCCTGCTGTTTCCTTACTCTCTGACTGGCAAACAAGCCCCTTACGAGACCCGTAGTACATTCACCTGAGCTGACGCCCCAGGACATTATGGATCAGAGAACGTTAAGATATCATTTACGAAGTAATAAGAAACTTAAAAAATCTACTTTACACAAAATGTTTACAATACAAACCTCCAGCTCATTTTCATCAAAAATTTTAATCAAATCGATAGGAAGCAGTTCTGTGAATCCCTGAAAGAAAAAAAAAAATCAACCTAAACACCTTTTTCCATAAAAAAGGTAAATTTTTCAGAAAAAAACAAACTTTCTTGATTATCCAGGAAAAAACACATTCTTTACTAATGATTTATATATCAGCAACAGCATTCATAGTTTCAATTCTAATAAAAACAGCCTAGTCATGATATAAAAATTTTGAAAAAGAATAGAATCTAGAACAGTGATGGCGAACCTATGACACGCATGTCAGAGGTGACACATGAACTCATTTTTTGGGTTGATTTTTCTTTGTTCAATGGGATTTAAATATATAAAACAAATATCAAAAATAAAAATCTTTGTTTTACTATGGTTGCAAATATCAAAAAATTTCTTTATGTGACACAGCACCTAGAGTTAAGTTAGGGTTTTTCAAAATGCTGACACACCGAGCTCAAAAGGTTCACCATCACTGATCTAGAAGGTTCAGATAATTGAGTAGTCTTTGAAGCCCTGTGAAATACCGGTTACTGTAGGCAGGCAGATTCCAGAAGTCAGTTATGAGGCAGTCTTTGAGCCAGCGTGTCCTAAAATACACGTGCTATAGACACGCAAGAGGACAGTTAAGAATCAGGTCCTGACGGCACTAGAATTCAGTGATGGTGAACCTATGACACGTATGTCAGAGATGACACGCGAACTCATTTTTTTGGTTTATTTTTCTTTGTTAAATGGCATTTAAATATATAAAATAAATAAATATGAGTCTTTGTTTTACTATGGTTGCAAATATCAAAAAATTTCTATATGTGACACGGCACCAGAGTTAAGTTAGGGTTTTCCAAAATGCTGTCACGCCGAGTTCAAAAGGCTCACCATCACTGCACTAGATGAAACACACAAGGAGGCAGTGGGCTCGGTACAGGAGAGACCGGGGTGCCCAGCATCCACAGGAAGCCTGCTCTAGCTCACAGATAATGTCACTGCCAAGTCGAGGTGCCATGCCTTGGGCCTTGGTAGGGGCTGGGGTTTTTTTTTTAGAGAGAGATTTGTTGTCCCACGTATTGGTTGGTTCTTATATGTGCCCTGGCCAGAGACCTAACCCCATTGACATATTGGGACGATGCTCTAACCAACTGAGCTACCTGGCCAGGGCGGGGCCAGATTTTTGAAAGTATAGAGCAGTGGTTCTCAACCTTCTGGCCCTTTAAATACAGTTCCTCATGTTGTGACCCAACCATAAAATTATTTTCGTTGCTACTTCATAACTGTAATGTTGCTACTGTTATGAATCATAATGTAAATATCTAATATGCAGGATGGTCTTAGGCGACCCCTGTGAAAGGGTCGTTCGACCGCCAAAGAGGTCGCGACCCACAGGTTGAGAACCGCTGGTATAGAGGAATCAGGTGGGGTGGGGCCCAGGAATGTGCTTCTGGGTTTCTTATATAAAGTATGAAACCTGTTGTTCTCAAGTGTATCTAACTCATACTTATGCCCCCAAGTCCCTGAAGTCTGGGGTTGGGGCTTCTTAATCACCAGGAGCTGGGGTAAATTTCGCATCAGTTCACTGGGAATTTATAATGTACAAGAGGCCGGGTGCATGAAAATTCATGCACTGGGGAGTGGGGGGTCCCCTCAGCCCAGCCTGCCCCCTCTCACAGTCTGGGAGTCCTCACGTGATGTCCTACTGATGGCTTAGGCCTGCTCCCTGCAATCTGGCCTCCCTCTGCAGGAGGTGACCGGGCTAATCAGGGGAAGGTGCTGCCCCTATCGCTGCAGTGGCTGTGAGGCCTGAGCCCAGGGCTGCCTGAGCCCAGGGCCTCACAGACCCCAGGGCTAATGGCTGCAGTGAGCCCTGGGCCTCACAGCCGCTGTGGCTTTGTCTGGATGGATGTCCAGAAGATATCTGCCCTAATTAGCATATTACCCTTTTGTTAGTATAGATAGTTGGGGCTTGTTTCTAGGTTTGCTTTGAGTAACTAATACCCATTATCAAGATTTAAGAAAGCATTTCACTTTGGGTCAAAGCGAAGCATTTTTAAAAACGACGAATCCATCCCCTCCAGGCCTCTCACAAGGGATCCGGGGGCACCACTGACATCAAATCCTTGGATCTGAGAGGTGCCTGCGCCCCATGTCATCCAGTGGAAATTGGCACAAGGTGCTTGGCACTTTGCTTTTAAGATAAAATTCAGCCTAAGAAAATGTGTTTCCACGTGCTGCACAGAAGTGAAGTCTGTGAGGAGCCATGAAGACAGCATGAAGGGAATGGCTTTGCTACTGAGGAGTTTGATATGTTCAGTCTGAGTCCTCAGGCTTTGGGGAACACATCAAGCACTGCCAAAGACAGAGGTGCATTTCCCAGCCTTCCCTTGGGCACCACCCAGAAGTGCAGGCCAGTGGGTCTGGCTTCGTGGGGGCCTACCTCTGGTTCAAGTTTGTAAAAAGTTCTCTTTAAAAACAGGGAACATTAAGACATAAGAAGCAAAGACGAGAGCACTAAACTAACAAAATGAAAGGGTGGCCATGGGGTGGCTGACACTCCTGCCCTGGGGACTGGTCCATGGTGCAGGCTGTGCGGCCCTGACCTTTGGGCCGTGTGTCCCCAGCCTGTGCCCATCATGTGGTGGGTGATCATGCCCACCACACCGCCCTCAGGAGTACCCTCTCTCCAGCTCTGACTACAGACACAGGTGGACAATCCCGGCCGCGCAGCTTACCTCCAAGAAGGCATTCATTTGCTTCTGGACCCTGTTCACAAACCTCCACTGGATGACTAAGCTATGGGAGAGAACGGAACAGTGTTTAAACACCTTTGTCATCACAGTGCTCACGGCTTTCTTCACAGCTTCAATTGAGGCTCATCAGACAAAGGAGAGAAACCCCTACGTGGGCAAAGGAAATCGGGGCTCCAGGGCTGTGGCATGCACTGTTTATTCATTAATTCTTTTAAGAGTAACTAGAGCACATGTGAAAAACCTCAAATTCCACTCAAGAGTTCAAAGGAACAGTTGATTTCTTTTTCTCCAGATTAAGGCTTAGTTTATATATATTGCTTTATAAATGTTACTAAAGGTCATGGAATGTGAATACATATGCATATGTGAAGAACATGCATACACATATAAACTCACGTATATACACGCCCACCTATGTATATATATGTACTTATATTTTTAAAGGGAGTACCAGCACAACATATTTTATCAAATGATATTTCACTCTAATAGACATTGTACCGATTTTCAACAATGACCTACAGTTTATAAGCAAAATGATGTACACTAATACTTTAATACTATAATATAGAGGATTAACGATAAGACCTCTTTATGTAACAAATCCACTGAAACCATCTCCCCCGTGACAATGTCTAGTGACAGCAGAGTTTACTGCCGGGTGAATCAACCTCGGATACCTTCTAAGGTGTTTCGTTGTGAAACAGCACAAGGACCTTGTCATCACTGCTCTCACCTTTGAGGGGGCAGATGGCAACGGCCCTTGAGGACCAGCCCCCCTCACAGCCACTGCTCAGCCCCACTAGGCTTTTCTGTGCTGAGCTGCGGCCAGCAGCCCAAAGGCCTTCCTGCACCAGAGGCTTGCAGATGTCAGGGAGCAAGTGGAGATTTCTATCATCCTTTTCTCAGCTAAGATAGCTGCGACTCTGCCCAACCCCACACCCACCAAATCTGAAACCTCAAGGAATCCACTGCAAGAAATGATGCACAACACATGTCACAATGTCTGAATCCCCAGACTTTCCACCCTAGTCACCTGGGTGGAGTGTTCTAAAATCTATTCAAAGTCTGAACTTTCTGAATGAAGACAGCCTTGCTGGCCAGGGTGCTATCTGCTTGCTGAGATGGTCCAAGTTCAGGCCACCTGACATACTGTTCAATGTAATAAAAAATTGTAAATGTGCATATACGTACTCAATATATTCCCTTTTGTTTTCATTTGTAACCATTATTTCAGACCCATTGGGCTTCAGATCCACTTGATATGTCTGTAATTACAAAGACAAAATAATGGTCACCATCATTAAGTTATTCTGTGGGTTATTACTGGGTAATAATGTCTCACTATAAGAGGAAGATAAGCAAAATTGATTCAGAAATATTTTCCAGGAAATAGGCGTTGTGTACAAGAGGATGCTTAACAAGGTTTTTATGTTGTTAAAACACAGTTAAAGATGTTATCATTAAAGGCAAACTATTTTATGGTTGTGAGTTTTCATTATTCTTCAGACATTAGCAACAATGGAGAAGGAATTGTGTTTACAGAAAAGACAGGGTATGTCCATTGAGACTAGAGACCCAAGTTCTAATGTATCTTATTTGTTTTGGAAAATTAAATTTTATAGTCATAAAAAAAGATGTGTGGGTTTTTTTTAAACAGGCAAAACTCAGGAACTTAAAGAAGCTTAAGACATGAGGCTGCAGAGAGGGATCTACCCGATCGCAAAGAGCAAAGCAATTGAGGCTGAGCCATGGCCCTTGCCTGCGTGTGGGGCCAGCTAATACCAATGTGTATTGAGCAGTGGCCAGCAGGAGGGGAAGGAGGGCGAAGCCGACTGTTTTACAAACAATATGTGTCTTCTCATAGAAACTTTGGGGAAGCACATGGGTGTACAGTTTATTCTGTCTGGCATACGATGGCTGTGCAAACACACTGAAATTTGTTCATTTGAAACACTCCTAGTCGGTCCCAGAAACCAGCACTCCAGATTCTCATCAATCAGGATGAAAAATTACAAAATAATGGCAACAGCTGCAGTTTCATTACATGAAGCAATGGCTCCCACCACTTCATGGTCTGATTTTTCTAATTGTGGAATAAAAAAACAAAACAAAACACTGAGGAGGCCAAGGGCACGGACACTTCACACCCGTGGTAGCTGCACTCCACTGAAGAAATGACCTGGTGTTGTGGCATGAGGGACACTTGGGCTTCCTCTTGGGTCAGAATAAACTGCACTGTCCAGTCACCAGCTCTGCTGAGGCTGAAAGCAGTGAGAGGCTTGCACAGGTGTCTCTCTGATGCCCACAGTGTGGGTTCAATGACTCTATTTTGAGCGCCTACCTTATACCAGGCAGTACGCCAAGTAGTGTGGGCACAAAGGTAAGCGAAAAGCAGAACCCGTGCTGCCATCACCAAGGCTGAGCCTGGTGGGAGAGGCAGATGCTAAACGCATAGTCATACAAATACATGCCACATCACCCACGGTACACGCCCCAGGGGGACATGGGAGATACTCTGAAGCATATGGCCTGGGTCTGATCTGAAGATGGGAGGCAGTGTGTTCCCAACAGAAGGAACAGCATGAGCGAAGATCCCGAGGTTCTGAGAAGGAACCTGGGACCAGACCCAGAATGCATGAGGGACAGCTGTACCTTCCCCGGAGATGGGCAGGTGGGGCCACGCCATGTAGGACACCATGGGGCAAGTTAATCTCAAGGTCAGTGGGCAGTCTAACTGTTTCTGGCAGAGGAATGACATGACACTTCGACATTCTGAAAAGACCACTATGGGAGGCCAAAGTGATATAAAGAGATCAGTTAGGAGCTCTGAGACAAGACGGTACCTTAGACTTGGGTGTTGGTGGTCAACAGTTAGGGAAAAAACACAGATCTGAGAAAGACATGGAAGCTAAAAATGAACAGGCTTGGTGATGGATCGGATATGGAAGATGCGATCAGTACGTGGGTGCTTAATTCACTCTACATTTCTTCCCAGAATGAAGGAAGGATAGATACATTTGTTCCCTGTTAATCAGGTTAGCTCTCTAAAAAAGCAAGGCAGTAATTTAACAAGTAGGGCACCTGATCATTAGCTTACTCATCTTGTGTGTCTGTTCTGACTACTGCATTACTCTACCTTGTTCAGCTCAAAAGTCAGAAGAATCTACAGTATTAAACCAAGAGATCTGAGAACTGTCTTTAATGAATAATTAACATGAACTAAAATAATAATCAAAATCTTTATTAGAAGCTACTTAATAATCCAAATATCTTGTGTTTGGTTTTATTAGGTGGAAATAGTGACATTTCACTGTAACTAAAGTTTTTCCAGATCACCCGCTCATGCCTTTGGCATTGCTAATGTCTGCTGAACTGTGAGCAAACTTTTAATAATCTCTGAAGCAGTAAGGAATCAATCTATTTCATTTCCCATATGGCAATCTTTGAAATCGGCTCCACGATCTCATTTATTTTAAGGCCCTGAGACCTGGTCTGGGAGATGAGATCTCTCTCTGTGCTTCTGTGGAAGGACGGGTACCAGGGTTGGACATCCCTGAAAAGACCTCCCAAGATGCACTGTTATCAAAGGTTATCACAAATGAATCAGAGGTCCTAGGTTTAAGACAAACACATCCTACAGAATGTTCAGGTGGTGATGAAAATTCCTAGCAGATGACTTTTTCTTTGACATTAACCTTTCTGATTAATCTAGCTTTAATAATGACAGTATGGGCACAAAGCAAGAAGGGATGGGAGAGAAACCTGAGCCTGCTGGGCCCCAGAAGACAAATGACAACAGAACCATTAAGGAGAGAAAAAAAGCCCACATTCCCCAAAACATCACCTACTTCTGATCATGTAATTATATCACTGAGTAACACACTATTTTTTGAAGTACCTAAATTCTAAAACCAAGGCACAAACGTTTACGTTTTGCACTTTGCTTTAGATTAGAAGTAGGTACCCGTTCAGTCCCACGGGCCTCAGAATTTCTGTCACTTTGCTGGAATTGGGGCTTTGCTTTCTGGCTTAACAATACAATGCTGATACAATGATGATGACTAACAGCTAATGCTCCTGGTGGTGGATTTTAATTGTCCAGAAAAGTTGTGTTACAACCTGTGCAAAAGCAAGACTTTCTAAAAGTTGGAGAGGAGCTCCTGGGGCTCCCCGGACATACCTGCCCAAAGTTTTCTTCATCGATACAGAACATGAGGTCCAGTTCAGTGGGATCATTCTCTAGGATCCATTTCAAAGAGTTGTAGTATTCACTATCCTAGAGAAGTGACACAGACACTAAAATTAAGTTTCTTTTTTTCCCCCCAAAATACAAACTTGTTTGACTCTAAATAACTCAGTCCTTCTAATGTAATTCCTCGCACATTGCTCAAGATTTATATTAGTCTCTAATAAGTTTTCTGCTCTACTTCAAACCTACTTAAAATACAAACTAAAAATGTGTTTTAGTAGCAGCAGGGTTTGTAGTTGAATCCTGTTCTCGGTGAAGTGGAGAGGAAGCAATCTGCTCTGGATGGCGGTCATCAAATTATACAATTGAACATGGAAGATGAATATACTTCCTGTCTCTGAAGAGTGAAAATATCAAAGGACAATAGGAAGAATGAGAACATTCTAACTAAGTAAATATCAATGGTTTAACCCTTTGAGTGCCAACCAATATCCTAGGAACTATGCTAAAATTGCCAACGCATTTTTGCTGATTTTACAGCAGTTTAGGAAAAAGAATTATGAATCGCAAGTAAATGAAGTTACATATTCAAAAACTTAAGGAAACCTTTACTACACTGACATATTTAGCAATATCATCATCACTAATAAAAGCAGACTTATTTCGAAGCTTTGATAGTGTTCCCGGCACTTTTGGCGAAAGACAGGAGGAGCGCGATTGCGCTCCCCGGCACTCTAGGGGTTAAGTCCCACCTCTTTCTGTGCTTGCACTGCTCTCTACAAGTCAGTGTAACTGGGACCCAGAACACAAGCCGAAAGGGCCTGGCCTCCCCTCTCTCAGGGATTCCAGTGCTGGGATTGGAGCCAGGTTCAAACCTGCAACTGATCTGTGCCCTTGATTGGAAATCCAAACCTTGAAAACTTAGGTGTGGGGGGCCAATGCTCTAACCACTGAGCAGGGCCCAAATCGCTTTTCAGAAAACTTCTCAAAGCATTCATTTCCTAACTTGTTTATTACTCCCCACCTAGTCACTCACCCGCTCCACGTTTGGAACGACTGTATGTATTCTTCCCTTTACTGCTTTGGCCTGTGCCCTTGCCATTTTCTGAGGTCAGAAAACAGGAATAGCAGATGAGCCTCTAAACATTCAGTATTAGCAGTTTCCGATGGAAAACAAGAGCTGCCATGAGGTCTCCAGGTGACCCTGGGCTTTAACCCTTTGAGTGCCGGGGAGCGCAATCGCGCTCCTCCTGTCTTTCGCCAAAAGTGCCGGGAGCCATATCAAAGCTTCGAAATAAGTCTGCTTTTATTAGTGATGATGATATTGCTAAATATGTCAGTGTAGTAAAGGTTTCCTTAAGTTTTTGAATATGTAACTTCATTTACTTGCGATTCATAATTTTTTTCCCTAAACTGCTGTAAAATCAGCAAAAATGCGTTGGCAATTTTAGCATAGTTCCTAGGATATTGGTTGGCACTCAAAGAGTTAAGCTGGTCACACCAGTCCCAGGTAAGCAGAGGTAACTGAGGTTGGCGTTATCCAACTCAAGAACCATGCTTCTAGTTAATGGGAACCATGATTTGCTTATTAGAAAAATTAGGGAGATCAATTAAACTCTTGAACAACTAAATGGTCCCTATATTGACACTGAATGGAGAAACCCATAGAAAGCGCTGTGACAAAATGTCACAGCTGCCTTCCGCAAGACACAGGTGGTCCACGACCCCCAGTGGGAGGACCTGCTTTCACTCACCACAGATTCCATGTCATTCAGAGTTATCTGCTTTCCCAGCATCATTTTGTAAAACGGTCTAATGAAGAAACCTAAAACAGGATGAAAACTGGATTAGTTTCAGGTCGTTGATATTACTGTGCAACAGAAATGAAATACAAGCTGAACCTGCCTTCAATTTGAATGAGAGACCAGGACAGGACAATCAAAGGCCTTCTGTAGTATCTGTGACCCACTAGACCATGGCCTGGTGGTTGTGATGTTCTTTTTTTGTTTGTTCGTTTGTTTTTTTGAGGGGTGGTGGGTAGTAAGGAGGATAGTTATACTTGTAGAGGTCAGCAGAAAGGGGTCAAAAAGGCTCCTGGGGGTGACAAACAAGCCTCAAGGCCTGGCTAGAATTTTCAGTGTAAACAAGGCACATGAATAGGGGACAGAAGGCACTCTAAGTGAGGGACAAGATCGGGACTTGTGAGTGGTCTTGTCAGGGAGGAAGTACAAGGTGTCCTGGGGAGGACAGGCTAGAGAAGGGACTGGGGAGTGGGCAGCTTGCGTGGGGTCCGGGGCAGTTTGGGCTGCTGCCTGAATGAGGGCCCCGGGCAGTCCCTGGAAGGCCAGGTGATTTCATCTGCATATCAGGACCACTCCTGGGGCAGGCATGGGGAAAAAAGCAGGAAGCGGGCAAGAGGACATGAGGGAGGCCACTTAGGAGGCTTTGCAACCTTCCAGGGCAGGGAAGATGAAGGCCTGAGTGAGGCAATGGCAGTGAGGACACCATCACCCAGGGGTTCCGCAGGGCCCCCCAATCCACCTGTCCACAGGCAGGTCAGCATCACATGCCTCCTCATTGGGGTGTTGGAACCTCAGCCCCCACCCCCATCTAATCAGTCACCAACCCTCTGCAGTGTTTTCCTATTCACACTGGCTCAGGTGGCCCTAGGCTGCAGACTCAAACACCATCGGTGTCTCGGGAGGCAGAGGATGAAGCCGATACAAGGGAGTGTGAGCTGGCTGTGGCATATGTGTGCTCTGCCTACAGGGGCAGTCGCATTTTTAAGGGCATTCTGGTCCTCAATTCTGCAATTCCTGCCGTACCTGGTATCACCTTTGGCAGTAGTGTCCTAGATTCCCCCACTTGTTCCTGCTGCTTTCCATTACTCCCTCCATGAGCCTTGACTCAGCCAATCCTTGCTCTTCTGAAATGGTTCCAGCTTCTAATGTTCAACCCCGCCCCACCCCAACCCCTCGAAAGCTGGGCCTAATCCTGTTGAAGTGTTCTGGGCCCTCCAGGCAAATCAGGGTTTCCTCATCTCCTCGTTGGATCCCCTATGGCCCTTCCGATTGGACTCTGTCACTGTGAATCTTGTGACTTTTGTTTGCCCACTAGATTTTAAGTTCACTGAGTCAGGATCATATCTGACACTTCTATTTCCCCACAGCCACTAAGGATGTGTTCTCACTTGGCAGAAGGTGTGCAGACTGACCTCCTAAGAAAAGGATGAAGTGAATTTGAACAGCTGAGATAATCTATGGCACGACGCCAGTGTAGCAAATTAAAATATATTCACACAGTGTACATATACAGAAAGAGTGCAGTTTCTTTCCCATGAAAAAAATTGCTTATTTCCCCCAAGTAAAAATAACGCATTGAAATCAGAGGGTCAAAATCAGCCTGCAAGTACCAGTAAAAATATACTAAAGGATGAAGTACAGAAGGTACATCAATTATTTACTGGAATAGCTAAGGTTCCACAGATGCAATTAACATTACTTCCCTGCACCTCTCTCTATAGTAGCTGTATTGCCAACCTCAAATCTTATTCTCTCTTCTATCCTCAACAATTTTATCCCCAAATCTTTCAAAAATATTTTTAATTCCCCTTCAATGATTTAAATAGTGTCCTTTCTCAAGGGCAATACTTTGGAAATGACCAAATCCAGAAGAACTCTCTATTACAAGCCTAATAGAGATGGCCAGGGGAGGGGTCTGACATCTAACTTCCAAGGGACCCCGAGATTCTTCCATGGCTTACATGTTTTAAATAAGAACGAGAATACTTTGTACCATTTGTGGGTCAAGGTCTTAGCTCAGCATAACATTACTGACAGTCTCTTACCATTCAAATAAAAATAATAAATATTTACAGTCTCTTCACATTCAAATAAAATAACAATTTGAAACAACAGCAGAATAACGATGAATCTGATCATTTATATTAACTTTTCAATTAGCTTTTCCATCTGTCACCAAACCTAGCTCTCCCTAAAAATATGAGAAGTTGTTCTTAAAAGCAAAAAACAATCACAGAATGTTCTGTGCTTCACACTTGTTTGTTTTGTAAAAAATTTTTAAACTGTGTAGACACTATACTGTCGGTGCTCAAATTAAGATGACTCCAGTGAAAAACACCTCCATTACAGGCAAAACATAAAAATAATTGAATTACACAGAACCAGTGGAGCTTTTGCTTAACATCTATGATGGGAAAGATGAGTCACCTAATAAGGAACCATAAATAACACTGTCCTATTTTGATGACTTCAAAACTTTTTAATAACTTACCATCTAAAAGTTTCCCATGAAATACTGCCAGACCAGCCACTCTTCCAATAAAAGTGAAATAGGACAAATGGTCTTCATTACAGAGGCCTGAATTGGGGTTGATCTGAAGTGTGTAGTTGTCCCTTGGGGGAGGAAGAGAGAGAAAAAGCCGAATCGTATTTTTAAAGAAGAAACACAAAAATTTGCATCTTTCTTTGCTGCCTGTCATTAGCTTTTATGGTGCTAATGCTTTTCTTGCAGATACTCTGCTCCTGATGGGGCAAGGCATGAGCTAGAGAATGGGACTTACCATTTAGTTAGCCTCTTTCTGTCACCAACGACTGAGGTCCCATGGAGCTGGTGCACATGCCCTTTGTAAGTTAAACCGTAAGAGAGTGTTGATATTTGACTATCTTTGATTTACAAAAATGTCAGTTGCATATGGTTCAGCCAAGAATCTTGGAAGGTGCGAATCACCACATAATAAAGGGACTGTGCACGGATTGCAATGATGTGAGTACTTACTTCAGGTTCTCTGAGGGGAAGGAGGATTTGTTCCTTTGAGAGGCATTTGGTTTGGAGATGAACATTTTTCCTCCGGGCCCAATGTTTGGTCTGACCACTGTTGGGCCCTGACAGCCCCAAGGGCCTTGGTAACAGCATATGGCTGTCTTAACACCATAAACTACAAAAATAGTTTGTATGTTTACATGTCCGTCTCTGGTCTCAAAATCATGAGGATCACTGGTTTTCCATTTGGGCTCCATAGACAGATTCTTTTAGGGGATCTGAGAGGTGAGGATCCTGCCCCCTTCTCCCTTCTTGCCCTGCCTGCCACTTCAATGGTTGTGATCAATTTTACATAGTGATCTTTCTCATGGGACAATAAACAAGCTGGGTGATTCTTGGCTAGAACAACTGGGCAGGATCCTGAGTCTGCCTTCCAACAGAGCCCCAGGAGAGAGTGGGAGATGTGGAAGAACCCATGTCCCTTAGACTCTAGCAAGGCTGCCTTTTGGCAAGGCCAACAACTACTCTATAGGCACTTGGGTTCACAGCCTGCAGGAGGAGCGGCGGCCTGGTAAGCAGGCAATGTTGGAGTCCTGAGAAAGCAGCTGAGTCTTTTAGTTTCCATGCCTGGCAATGATGAAGTCCTAATGCCCAGGGAACCTGGTTCTTCCCTTACAGGACCAGGGCACCATCCTTTGGAGCCTGAAGAATAGGTCCTCCTCAAAGTCATCATAATTTTCCTTTAACTAGTGTTCCTTCAGAAACTATTTTTGTCCATGAGATGACAATGACTCTCTGAATTCTGACATTGACAAATTCTCCTGAATTAACATAACATTACGAATGAAAATTGCCTCTTGTTCCTTACCATAAGTACTCAGCACACTTTTAATTTCAATTAAGTGAACCCAACAGACAAGAGAAAAATTGTTTTTTGGTGTTCAGAGTACATTATCTCATCAGGTAGAGTCAGAACCTGTTCTAGACTTATGGGGTGTGTGGGCTGGTGGTGAAGGGGAGTGGGGACTGAAAACAGCAGTATTAATTCATTTCAAATGAGTGAGCCACTTACTCTTTCACAAGCTGGAACTATCAAGAATAAAACTGTTTCAGTGGGACACATTCTGAATTTGCTCCATCTACTTACGTTGCGGAGTACTCGAAGAGACCATAGTAGGGGTTGAACATCTCTTTGGACAGTAAGAAGAACCATTCTCTGGCCACACCCCCATAGTCGAGACCTTTCTCTGATTCAAATTCAATCCACAGTCTAGCTTTTAGGACATCTGGTCTTTTCACAGACATGATCCTCCGATAGGACTCTTCAAAAATGTTATTTCTGTGAAGTTTCATTTCAAACCTATTTGGAATATCAGCCTACACAAAAGGAAAAAAAAGCACATAATCATACACTAACTATGCACTTTACTTCACAGGAGAGAAACGATGGCAGTCTTCAAATAAACCAGCAGGGAAGAATGGTTCCAACTGAGCGTCCCTCCCTTATGGAGGTTTCCTTGCACAGTCAGAAAGCCTCACTGAGACACACAGCGGCCACCAGCAGCCATCAGACTGAGCCGGCAGCATGTGCTGCAGAAGAAAGTGTACTGAGCAGTCATCCTCTCTGTTTATGAACAATTGTGGGGTGCTTATCCGCCCAGCAGCAACTGAAACATGGTTAACTGTAGATACTGTTTCTGTCAAAGGAAGTGACTTCAGTCCAAGCAATCAAAACCCACAGCAGTGCCCACCTGGCCAGGATGGGAGCATGCTAAACTCCAGCTGGTAGGCACGGTCCACATGCTGATTCTGCTACCATGGGGAGTGGGACCCTGATGATCATGCCAAATTGTGGGAAAGCATCCCACAGTCCATAGTTAATAATTATGAAAACAAAAAAGCACTTGACAGGTTGTAACTGCTTCTTGGAAAAATGAGGGATAGGGCAGCTTTGCCATAAAACGGATTTGCAGAGGCAGTGAAAGTGCCACCCGGTGTGACACAGAGTGAAGTCCCTAAAGTCACCCCTATGACTAGGGGAATGCAGGTGACTCACTGAGAAACTGGGGATTTTATGTGTTTAAATTTGAGTCATTTCAAAAGCAGTCACCAAGAGCTAGTTGCATGAGGATGTTGGAAGGGAGGACAGAACTCATAAGCGGGAGCTCCCGAGGCAGAGGCTCTCTCTCTCGCATCTCTATCCCCAGTGCCGCACCCAGAGCAGATGCCTCAAAAGTGAGGCTCCGACCGAGGATTGGCGCAGGAGAGACAGTGATGGAGCACAGGCAAACTGGGGAGGCCTGAGTGAGGGTCTTTCCCCAGTGGGAAGAAGCCGAGAAATGGTGACACCAAACAACACAAAATATCCCAGACCCCAAACAGTGAATGCACAAACAGAGAAGAAAACTGGTAAAACCTGTATCACAGAAGTGAAATAAAGTAAAATGGAAAACCTATATTGAAATATTTGGGATGATGTGTCAGTAGAAAATACTGTGATTTAAATCACCGCCTGTAAAAACCTTATTGGGTTTCTCAGTTTTGTAGAAATTGTATAGGGTTTCCCATTGAGAATTTTCATTTGAAAATTACACTTGGTCTTAATATACCAAATATAATCAAATATTATAAATTGTACTGTAGTAAGTATAATTAAAATTATACTTCTGAATTTAAAGGGAAGGGCTTGAACATTTTTCTAACTAGGATCTAGGTTTTATTAAATAGGATAACCATAACAACTGCATAGACTTCTCCAAATTTTTCGACTAAATCCTAAATTATTCTATTTCCCATAAAATCATTTCTATCTTTTTACATATTACATAAGAAATTACCCTTCAGGTGATTTGATATGTAATACCAGCCAATCTTCACTTACCATTCTGTTAAAAAGAAAATTCAGGTGGAAGATCCAGGCGGATCAAAGTGCAGTAAAAAAGGAAGTTTATATTCTTAGTACACACAGAAAAATAACAAACAAGTCGCTTGCACTGAAGTAACTTTGGTAACTTACAAAGGACTGAAATAGCATTTTTGGAAGACATGTTACTCACAGGTTTCTTTAATTTCTTCCTAAAGTAGTCATATTTCTGCTTAAATTCTCTGGAGTAAGGAACCGCCTAGAAGATAAATTTATAAATGTAAATGAGGGGAAATAACACTTGCAACTTTATGTAAACTGAGCAACATTCAGAGAACTTCATTAATCATACACCTTAAAATTCTCATTTTCCATATTATCATTGAAATTAATATGTCTATGTACATAGCACATGGGAAAGTTCTAGAAATGATTAAGGCAAATCAGCATTGAGTAGGGCGGCTTTCACCCCTGAAAACAACTATGTTGATATTCAATAAGTCATTTAGGGATATGCTACATAAAATACACTTTCCAATGTGACTTCTGTCTGGATATGAGTCAGGTGTAATCTTTATTTTTCTCCTGTCATTGAGATAAGAGTTGGCTATGACATTTTAACATACAACCCCAATGACCAATGACTAATCCTGCTTTTAAAAATCTTTGGGAGGAAATATAATGAGCAGAAAAGCAACTAGACTGGCATTCTGATCAAGGACTGTAAGACCAGGTAGAGAGCACTCAGGAAAAGTCTCCCATTTGGGGGTCAGAAGGTTTGCCTCTTACTATCTAGTAAGTAGTCTTGGGTGAGGGTTTCTTTACATCTTAATGCCTTATCTGTGAGGAGAGTTATGGTATCACAAGAGTGGGCTCGGTAACTGAGCTATCATTACTCAAAAATTCTGCAATCTCTTTAGGCAAGTAACATTTTAATATAGTCATTTAAATATTCTCTATTTGCTATGTTATAAAGTAGCTTACAATAGCCAGAGTCCTGACTTCAGGCTATTGAAAAGGCTAATTTTTTTTTTAAATGAAACAGAGAGGACTGGCTTTTGCATATACATGGACATAACTGTGGCAGCCTCAAACTCAGAATGACTCATTGCTTTTTTGGCAAATAGTGTGCATTCGGGCAAGAATATTTTTGTGGATATAATTTGGGACTAAGTTAATAAAATATACTGATCCTTAGAAAAGTGTCTCCAGACTCCAAACCTTCTACCTTCACCTTCTTATTCTTGTCCAGAAAGAGGAGAAATGAAAAACATAAGCCTCCCTCCTTTCTACTGTTTTTAAGACGATCACACAAATAACTCAGCCAAAACAAAAACATATAACCAGTCATAGCAAACACTGATCATGCCAGTGTTTTGCTTTGTAATTCAAGAGCAACAGACATCATATTGATATATCTTAAGACAATTTATACTACGAATGGTTTTAGTTTTCAACCCACTCTTTATTTGCTTTTCCACTGAACACTGGATTTGACCACATATCAGATTTATTCTGGACAGTGTTTAGTCTGATGAAATCGTGTGTGAATTTTTATTCTAGGAAAGGTAGAAACTTTGTCACTATCTGGACAACTAACTACTAGTATAAGAAAAAGGAGACAATATTGTGAAATAAGCCATTAAAGACATTATGATGTTGTTTGCTCTACCAATACTATATCGCATAACAAAAGCTTTTCTATCCAGTTTATTTATTCATTCTTTGGTGGTTCATTTGCTAATTCATTCAACAGGTATTTCTTGAGTACTTAGTCTGTGCCAGGCATTTTAGGTGCTAGAAATAATGGTACATCAACCAAAGAATTCTTGCCCTATTCTCTCCCGGAGATTACAAGCAATTGGGAGCAATAGGTAATAAGAAATAAGTGAGTAAGTAGTGATAAACACTATAAGAAAAAAAAATGATAGAGTTCCCGGGAGGCTATTTTATATGAGGTAGTTAGGAAAGGCAGTTCTGAGAAATGGATACCTGAGCAGAAACAAGTGACCAGAGGGAACAAATTTTGACAGGGACAGTGGGTGCAAAGCCTTGAGAAGGCAAAGTGTTTGGTTGATGTTCTATGATTAACTGTAATAGAGGGGAAATAACCTAAAAATGGATTTCCTGTCATTATCCCTTGCCAGCTTTAGAAAACCTGACTTCTAGGACAGACTCCTGCCAGCTAGCTCCATGACAACCTCTCCTTGATGGCACTACTTCCCAGTTACGCAGAAGGATCTGAAGAGATGAACTTCAAGGTCCTTCCATTTCTACAAATCTACGATTCCCAGCAATTATTCTTTGTTTTGGTTCCCCGCTTGAAAATGTTAAAAAAAAAGGCTTAAACATTCATCCTTGTAAAGTTCAATAGTCTTAAAGGACAAATTTCCCATGAAATTTACTGCAAATTGCCCCCAGCCCATGATATCTGACTTATCATTCCCTTGTCTGACTTATAACGTGGTAGGTGCTGACTAGATGTGGGTGGAAGTGAGATACTGGGATATTTCTGGCCTTTCTTCTTAAGTGGAATGATGCATGAAGGTTGAAAAATCATTATCCTCCTCCATCTAGAGGTAGTTCTGATAATGGAATAAGGAGAGAAGGTTTTTAACTCCTCCTCCTGAAAAGATCCAAATGTCACAGGACAAAGATGTCCCTATGTGCAGCCTCTGAACACAATTATGTGTGTCATGGATTTCTTGTTTTGGCCAAATTATTTATTCTCTTTTGAAAATATGACACCTTATTTTCTTACATATACAGTGGGGCCTTGACTTATGACTGTCCCGACTAACGAGTTTTTTGAGATACCAGCTGTCCCTCGGCAGATTTTTTGCATTGAGTTGATAGAGTATTTGAGTTAACGAGCTCTGTCTCGGAAAGAATTAAACTCGTAAGTCAAGGCCCCACTGTAACTTAATTTGTAAGATAAGCCTATTTAAAAATAATCACAGGCCCTTTTGCTCAGCATCACATATTCTTTCTCTCTTGAGCAAAATGAGAACCTGACTTAGTGTGTAAGACAGTTCTACATGTTTTCATGTCATTACTGTCCAGTTGGTTCTGGAGTCTTCTGTAGAGAAAGACTCATGTCTGGCCTGGCGACAATGGTGAGGTTAGCACAACTGGGGCTCTAGTCCCAAGTCTGACATTTGCTGTAAGTTTTGGCAACACAATTCGCTTTCTGATCTTTTGACAAACTGGGAATAACAACATCTTCCCTATCATTCCGAGAGGATGGTTGAGAGTGTCAAAGCAGCTGATTATAAAGTTCTCAGAAAAGTACAAAGTGTCACACAAGCACAAGATAGTATTCATAAGAGCAGCAAGCATGGGGAGCACTTTACAAATGCTTTCAATGGTGATGTTTGCTATACAGACAGTGTATTGACGTACAACAATGTGTGCTGGGCGGACACAGAAAGGGTCCCCTCCCCCATAATACATATTTTTAAAATTTGGGAAAAAGAGAAATTCTAGGTACCAGATAAACAGAAAGACTCAAAATAGAGAACTAAGTGGGCACTGGACCTAGACACAGGTGCTGGGGCTTGGGTTTTAACCCTCATGGGGGCACAGAACTTGGCCAACAGTCTGCATTGCTAGGCAGTCAGAACAGAGTTCCCTGCTAAAAACTTACACCTGAAAAGGGGACAAGAAAACTCTACCCACTGGCCCAGGAAAGTTGCAAGGAAGCTTACCTTCTGTCCAGGACCATAAATGGAAGAAAAAGAAAAAGAAACAGACCTGTAATAAATTCATACTCCAAGGCTACACCAAAGTGGGTATGAAATCCATAGTTATGGTAATTGGGGGTGAATGAACCCAAGGTAAGTAGTTAACAGAAAATACAGGTCAGAACTTATAAAAGCCCATGTGGAAAAAAAAATGAAGATGAGCATACACACAAATTCTAAATGGAACTAGGTAATAAACTACCATTGAGGAGAGTCTACAGATATAACATCTGGGCATAGTTTATATTCCTGGGACCAGAGTAAATAGGATAATCTGAAAAAGGCTATAAAGAGGCTATTTTAAGAATGATTAAAGAGTTGGAAGTATCAATAAAAATAAAAAAATAAAGAACAGGACAGAAAAATAGCTAAAAAGACTAAGCAAATTTAAAAAGAGCAAATAGAACTTTGAGCAATTAAACAGTCACTGAAATAATAGAGAAAATGAACTGATGAAGAGATTATACAAAGAGCTTAAGAAAGACTTAACTGGAAGAGCTGAGCCCATTATATACAGCAATAAAGAGAGGCAGACATGTGAAAGCTAAGAGATGATAGTTGTCAAAGTGAATCAATTACCCAAAGTTACTAATACAGATATTTTGAAAGAATGTGAAAGATGCAACAAGTAAAGACATAACCACTGAGAATTTTCCAGAATGAAGAAAAGACATGGTCCCCATACTGAAGAATCACAATGAGTTCAAGGCAGAATAAATTTTTAAAAACCCACACTTACAATACAGTAAACTTGCAGAACATCAAAGACACAGATAAAAATTCAAAATCATCAAAGAGAGTTACCTATAAAAAAAGATAATTGATTGGCAACTTCTCATAATTAGTTAAAAAGATCAGAAGATATTAAAAAATATCTCCAAAGATCTGAAGAAAAATAACTCTTAACCAAGAATTTGATAATGAATGAGCTAAACTATCATTTCACAGAGAGGTCAAGTAAGTCTTCTCAGATTAAGCGAGTTGACCACTCAGGCTCCCACTGAATTTGCTGTGAGAGCAGAGGTTCTCAAAGTTGGGTGAACATCAAAATCCCTGGGAGGGTTTGTTAAAAGACAGATTGCTGGACCTACTCCCAAAGTTGCTAGTTTTCAGTAGGTCTGGGATGGGGCCCCAAATCTGCATCTCTAACAAGTTTCTGGATGATAGTGATCTGTAGACCGCACTTTGAGAATTATGAGCTAGAAGTTATATGTCATTAAGAACAAAACTTAACCTAGACAAAGGGGGATGTAAAGATCAGTGGTGGGCAAAGAAATCTGTTTACATCTAAGTAAAATTAAGTAAGTATTGACTGCTAAAAAACAAAGAAAATATAAAATACTAATGAGAATTTGGGAAGTTTAAAGACAAGGTAGTTGTTTTTTAAATCCTGGATTTTTAGAGGGAGTAAGGGAAGGAGGCAGGGGGAGAGGAAGAGAGGAGCGAGGGGAGAGAGAGGAGTCAGGGAGAGGGAGAGGAGAGGGGCAGAGGCGGAGGGAGAGGGAGAGGGAGAGAAACATCGATTGGTTGCCTACCGTAGGCGCCCTGACTGGAGATTGAACTGGCAATCTTTTGGTGTACAGGATGACATTCCAACCAACTGAGCCATCCAGCCAGGGCTAAACACAAGGTAGTTTTAAAACTCCACTGAACAATGAGAAATAGGAGTGGGAAGAATGGCACTAATGTTCCCTCAAGTCCTTTATTATCCAGGAGGAGAGTAGAAAGTGATTCATTTCGACATGAAGTCAATTATGTCAGTTAAAAATTTTAATGTGAGCACTAAGAGCACTGAAATAGAAAATACAACTTCCGAGCAAGTATTAAAAAATGAAAGAAAATAAAGTGTACTCTATCAATCTAATAGAAGGTAAGAAAAGAAAAAACACAGCAAGAGACAGAAAATATGTCCTAGACAAACACTAATGGAGAGAAAATGAATGTAATGATTGATGAAGCCAGTCACCGTGGGAGTTTGACACAGCTATCTTGGTTAGATAAAAGAACCAGGAAAACAGTAGAAATCGAAATGGATAATTTGAACACGACAGGCTTGATCTAATGGTATACATATAAAGAATTGTTCTATACCCAAGAAAGACAGAACACACATTCTTTTCAAACTCAAAAGAACATTTACAAAAACTGGCCAAGCCTCCAAAGACATTTTGCACATCTCATAATCAATATTCCATATTCAATATTCTCTGACCATATGCAATACAATTAGAAATCAGTAAGAAACAGGAAAAAATTCTCCCACAGACTTAAAACTAAAAAGCACATTCTAAATAACTTAAAAGCCAAGGAGAAAAATCATATGGAAATGACCAAATATTTAGAATTAAATGACGACGAAAGCCAAATGTCTACACTAAGTTGATAATTACCTAAATAAACATACTCTTCTTATTGAAAGAAATGACACTAATAATGATAAGAGTAAATCAACCTCTTTAAGTCGAGATCACTTTTGGGGCCAAATCTATCTGGATGTATGCTAGATAATTTTCAACAGTAACAAGACTACGTGCTTGACTGAATGTAGATGATCAATAAACCATAAAAAAGATTTGAAAAAGACTGAGAAATATCATGTCAAAAGTCCTCTGCTAATTGAAAACAGCTCTGTTTACTGAATTTACCTGTTGCTCATGATGGAGAAGAGAAAATGCTATTCTAACAACTTATTGTGATTACGAATAAATAAAAATGAAAGCCATGGTAGAATGGCAGGCATTTATTAAGCTCCATGGAAAAAAAGTAATTGACTGTTTTAACCCAGGCATTACTAGGCATGTTGTAAAATGCAGAAAGCAGCAGAGTAAACAAAATGAACAGATCCAACAGGTAATTAAAAGATGACAGGGATCAAGTGCACTTGCATTCTAATATCATTTAAGTTTTCAAATGGACTTACCTTTATAATCAAAACATAATTTGAACTGAATCAGATCAAAGCCATGGCATTAGTATTTTAAAAATACCCATTGGCCTCTTAGCTCAGTGCTCAAAATATAATAAATGTAACTTCCTCCAGTTTTTAAAAGAACCCCACATTTGCCATCTTCTGTGATTCCAGTATCTTTCCTGAAATTCCAAATCATCTCCTTGCACTCTTGTAACCACCGACACGAGGTGCTAGTACATTCCCCGCCGATGAGGTGAGCGTGGCCCCCACTCTACAAACTCCACCCAGGAGCTGGATACCAAGTGTCCATTACTGCCGAGTGACCAGGGGTTCTCACTCTTCCTTACGAACAGTGTGTGGCAGCATTTCAAGGGGGCAGCACCATACCTAAGGCAGAACTCGTTCTTTTCCCACCTGGTACACACGAAGGGACTATGAGAAAGTTAGTGGGTCAGCGGAGATAAAGATTCTTATCTTATCTGCCAGCTCCAGAGGTTAGCGACAACCTCCCCCAAACCTTTACAGAGTTTCAGCGCTGGAAGAGATTCAGAATACAGCTTAGATTTGGTTAGCATGCATGAACTGCCCTTGGCCTACAGAAATGACAAAACTCTGCAAACACAGGCCTGGCTTTGCCTCATAGAGAAAGGAAGAGAGGACAATTTGATTGTTTCACTTATATTTTATTATTTTTAAAATACTTATTATTTATTTATTTGTAATCCTCACCTGAGGATATGTTTTACTGATTTTTAGAGAGAGGGGAAGGGAGAGAGAGAGAAATAGAAACAGAGAGACAGACAGAGAGAGACATGGATGAGAGAAACAGCAAGTAGGTGTCTTTCCGTACACGCCCCACCGGGGATCGAACCCACAACCTTTCAGTGTACAGGATGATGCTCCAACCAACTGAGCCACACCGGCCAGGGTTGATTGTTACACTTATAATCCATCCTTTTATAATGGAGAAAAGAAAATGTTTAGTTTAGCTACCACGATCACATCATTTTCTTTTCCTTTATAATGAAAGCCACATGAAAAGGCAAATGTAGTTGTACCTCACCAGGAAATTCCCATCAGGAGGAGATGGGAGTAATGTTACATTACTCAGTTACACCAAGGTGAGCAGTAATATACAAGAAATGTGTGTTTTGATACAACCAAAATATTACACTGAAGATTCAGAACTTGAGAATACTGACCGGGCCAGTAATAGCTGGATTCTGCAGTCTTGGGTCTTCCCACTGAGTTATTTTGCTATCTGAAAATTAATATTAAAAAAATCAGCATATTAGTTGAAATATAGTCTATGTGAAAAATGTTTTAGAAATAATTATTTCTGGTTTTTCAAAAGCTGTCTAGTCCCCCAACCTGGCCCCCGAAGATAATATCTTAGTATTTCAGGGTTAGAAGAGAACGATACTCTGTATGGCAGACCTCCTATGTAATGTTTAGTTAAAAACACTCAATCAAAAACGCACAGCTAAAGTAAAACCATCTATTTACACTGTTTTTGGCAAGCAATCTGCTGAAAGTTCAATTATAAACCCCTGTTCTTTCAAGGATTTATAACTTGATCTTGATATTCATTTAATTGAAAAAAGGCACAAAAAGTCTTAGTCCGCCAAAAGTTAACACACACACATTACTTTTTCTCATTTCAAATACTTTTGCTTATGCTTATGGTCTTGAAAAACTGCTTTCAATTAAGAGTCCTACACTGAACACATGAATAATCCATTGCATGTGTCACTCATATGCACACAACAATGGAAGCAGCCAGTAAGTAAGGCAGTCCAAAAAAGGAGGATTACATACTGCAGAGGAAGATTCTAGAGAAAGGCTTCCCTTTTGGCCATGTTGGTGAGAAGTGGTTTTCTTTCTTCCAAAAGAGTCAATGTTAACAAAATTGTTCAAAGCCACCTACACCACTACTTCGGTGGTGCAGGTGATAATGAACAAGAGCTGCCCTGCATCACTTGGGATTTGTGACTCTGCATAATCAAAAAGACTTTATGGATTACTGTGTGTGTGTGGGGGGGAGGGGGACAGAGATGAACGCACATGAAAGATAATGTGGAGGAAAGACTGGGGAAGAATGAGTTCTTTCTGGAGTTTTAGGAAATCTAAGTTGATTTAAAAAAATGGGAAATTATTTGAGAAAAATACTGATTCTAATTATTTCCTGTAAACTCAACAATAACTAATACATTTGGTTTAAATGACCATACCAGGGATTTTTCAGAGTCTGGTATTACAATTATTTTAATAGAATCAGAGTAAAGTCTTAAAATAAAGTTACCAAAGCACATGATGATTCTAGATTTGTGTATGCTGGAAGACAATTTACATGAAATGCTTCAACTGTTCTAGAGAACCTTGATTGGTCCCTTACCTTGAAAATGGAAGATTTGGAAAGTAAAAGTTGCTACTGTGATGGAGAACAATAGAAAAGAAAACCAAATAATGGAAACATAAAAGAGCTGAGCAATAAATGCCTCGGACTATCACTGTAAGGACTGGGTATTGTCATCAAAGCAGAAAATAAATTAATAACTACCTGTACACGACAACTCCCAAACCTTCAGTCCAAACCTCAATTTCAAGCGCCACCCTTCATCTGCATCTAGATTCCCCATAGGTACCTTCAACCCAACTCTTTAAAAATTGAACCCATAATCTTCCAACACCAAAACCATTTATGGAATCCTGTATTCTCGATTAACAATATCACAATCTATTCACTTTCAAATCTGGAATCTTGACACACCCCTTTTCTTCCCTTGCCATTTACCTCTGGTGGTGACCAAACTGTCCCTACTTCTTTCTGGGTGCTCATCTTTTTCCTGGACCATTCTCTAGGTTTTCCTGGTCTCAGTCTTATCCCTGTTCAAAACTCTCTATATAGCTCTGCCAAAAGGATCTTTCTAAAGAACAAATCTTACCACTGTCACCTCCTCTGGAAAACCCCTCAGGAGCTTTCTCTTGCCTGTAGAAGGGACCGAGTTCCCACACCTGGCAGACCGCCTTTAACTTGATGGGTGTGCCACCCCCGCTTTCTCTGCACACTGGCCACGGGCAACCTTGCCGCACTTCTCTGCACAGCCTCATACACCTGCACACCTTCTCCCTGCAGGAACCACTTTTCACTGGGTGTGCGTGACTAGTCTTATTCATCATTTGGAATATGTCTGAAGAGTGATCCATTCCATAAGGCCTTCCTGCAGTCTCCCCCATCCCTGGTGCCCTGCGCCACTTGGCAAGCAGGTACACTCTTTGCTTTCACATTAACAAGGGGTTCTTTCCTCTAATACAGCATTTAATACTCCCTGGTACTCCCTGCTAGAATCTAAGTCCCTCGATGACGGGGTGTATGTTATTCCCCTCTGCAGCTTCCTCTCCACCACTTAACACATTTCCTAGCCTAATATGTAACAGGAGTCCAATATGTTATTATTTTTAATGACCAAATGGAGCTGATGGTGATAACAAAGTTCCTTTACGGTTGGCTAAGCTCTCAGTCATATACAAATTTCTACGTGGTTATCATAAAGATCAATTTTGCAAGTATTGTCAATTTTTGAATATATGGTGGCCAGTTATCCATTTTTTCCTCTAGAATTTTAAAAATCTAAACTTGTTTTGTCTTCAAGACATTTTTTCAAATAAAGGGACAAGAATGAAGTAGAAGAATGAGAAACTCAGTCAATTTAGCTACTGTTTACTGGTTTGGTAAAGGCTATGGGCAGAATAGACTCAAATAGGATTTTACAGCATCGCTAGAATTTAATTTTCTCTTCTAGTTTAGTATATAAGATATCTGTGGTCAATTCCTCAGCTGCTGGGCATGTCTGGTCTTTAAGAAGAATCACACAATTCCTAAGAGAGGCAGAGATTCAGTTCAAGATCTTCCCTTAACCTTTTGCACCAGGCTTGAGACATAGGAGCCATTTGATAAATGTCAACCAAATAAATCAAGGCATCTAAAGAGAAGATTAGTACTGAGCATTATCTCTTCTGAGATTAAATCTTTAAGGTTGTTGAAATTATAAATCTTATAAATGTCTAATGTCTTAAGAATTTATGAAGCAGAAAATAGCATAATTATTTAAAAGAGAAGGGCACTGCTGTCCCTGTCATTCAGAGTGCAGCCACCTGTCCCAGTGATGCTGGCAGATAGGGTGGCTGAGTAACTCACAAGGTGATCAGATCACTTTCACAGTAAATGGCACATATAAGTATGACCTGGTTTCTATCCCAAGACAGCAAAATGAGATGCTGAATTTTGGCAGAAATCAGATGTGGGAAAACTATTTAGAAAAAGAGGTTCATTTGGAAGGTAAGGAAATTCCTCAATGTCACCACCAGGTAACTAGACCCATTTTGGAGTGTACCTATTAGGCTGATAAAGCCTCTTAAAAAGATAAGAATTCTGCATTTTTTATAAACTGGATTTTGGGGAAAAGGCAGATGAATTGAACTCTGTTTCACAAAAGCCTAAAAGATGGTGATAAGCCCCGCCCTCATGGCCAGATTCCCCAGCAATTGGCTTATCTAATCAGTGCGATGAGTTAAGACAATGTGAGGCCGGGGAAACCTGGTTCAGACTTACTGTTTATGAATCAAATTACAACAAGGAGCAAAATACTACCACACTGCATGTGTGAATTGAACTTTAAATCTATTTAAAGACTTCTTTTTCCAAGAAACCGAAGATGGCGGCATAGGTTAACGCCGGAGATTGCTGCCTTGAACAACCAATTCAAATTAAGACTGAAACAGGGAACGGACAACACCCAGAACCACAGGAGGGCTGGCTGAGTGGAAATTCTACAACTAGGAGTAAAGAGAATATCATATCCAGACTCAGAGGAGGCGCAGTGCTGAAGTGA